GACGATATAATGTTTTACACAGTAGTAAAAATATGAAGGAAAAAAAAACTACTCCCATCTACAGTATTAGAATAAGTGAACCTCAGAACTGAATTTTGATTCCTTTCTGAACCTACTACACTGTTCTATGTCAATGGCAGAACATGAGAACATTCCAGATTACAGGTATCAAGAGAGCATATTACCTGTGCACAGTTAAACATTCATAATCTGTGAAGCTATGACTGCTCATATTAACCTCATTTTATATTCAAAATCAATTCCACATCTCTATCCAGTTTTTCCTCCTATGCATTGGCAATGAGTTCATAATCCAAGGACTAATATATTCCTATACACTCCTTTACCCTGTGTATTTCAAATGCAATTGAGAATGGATTTGTCTTAAGTGTTGACTCATATACTTAAAATATCTCTGTGTAGGAGTTCTGGGCACTGACATCTCTCCAGTATACTCTGATCCATTACTCCTCGTTCTTTGAAATCATTCCCATACTGGAAAATAAATTTACCATATGCTGAGACTCAACTCAAAAAATCTGCCCAATTCATAATACCTCAGAAAGCTATCTGTTTTTTTTTAATACATGCCAAAAACCACTGAAGGTGTCTGAAATTTCCCATACAATGAACAAAAATATAGTAAGAAACCTTCCTGATGATCAATTTATGCAGATGTTCAAAAACAAGATGCTTTACTTATTCTACTGTATTTTGAGTTTGAAATTTAGATGTTAATAGAATATAAGTGGAAAACAATACAGGCCAGTTTGTCTATCTTCTGATGCACCTATAAATCAGGATGAACTAGTAAACGAAATGGTGAAAGGACCCTCAACTACATAAGAGAGACTTTTTTTTTAATCACACACATTCCAGTAACAGAATTGTTTCTCCAGGGGAGTTCATGTTCACTTATGTCTACATCATTATCTGTTAGGTTAAGATATTTTCACTCTGTTAGGGATTTTGTGAATACCTCCTCTTCAATGAGTCATTCTATCCTTTAGCTATTACTGGCTTTGATCAGGATACAAAACATCTATTATTTTAAATGCCTGCTGTTCTCCAAGGACATATCTTATGGCTAGAAAGGCTGGAAGTCAGCAACTTTCATGGTCAGGTCAGAAGCTGTTGTTACCAACACTGTCAAAAGTGCCTTAACTAAGCCCATGCTTACTCTGTACACCTCATTGTAATTAGAACTGTACGATCTATTTATCATAGCATCTGATTTTCTTCATCTGTGTGTCTTGTATTTAACTGCACTTGTCTGTGGCTTAATTTGTAAATCTGATTGCTGAGGCACACATCATTCATGCACTTCCTTTAGTTTTTAGTCTGACCCTTCAGACTCATGTCTTTAAACAGAATGAAACTACCTTATTTTTCCATGTATAAGACACTCCCATGTATAAGACGCCCCCCCATTTTTCTAACCCAAAATTAAGAAATCTAAGTGGGGCTTAGCAAGTGTAGGGGAAAGGGATCAAAGCACTGCAGGAACAATTTGATGCCTGCTTTCCCCTCTTCTTGTTTTTGTATTCTCCTCAGCTTACTTCCATGTATAAGACAACTCTCAATTTTTAGTCTAAAAATTTTAGACAAAAGTATAGTCTTATACACGGAAAAATATTCTTATGTCCTGCCACTGAAAAGAAAAAAAGTAGAAATATGAAATCAGTACATACTACATCATGGCAATCACAACTTACATATTCAAAAATCCACTGAAGAATCCTGAACTGGTTTTTAATTTTTCTATTTAAAGTACTGTTGGCCATTTTCAGATCATTTCTGAGCAATCTGACTATGCTTCATAATGCTTACAAGAAGGTTCCTCAAATGTCTCTTTCATATGGGCATTGAGGGGTAACCAGAATGGTATTCAACTCCCTTTTAAGAACAGAACAGAACAAAACAAAACAAACCTCCTTCAGTTCACACACTCCTAATGTTCAGATGTCTGGTTAATCACAAGAGTTCTTCATAGTCTTTAATTATTGTACTTTAGTTCGGTTAAATGCACACAATTTACAAACACAAAAAGAATTATCAAGTGTTACTGCAATGGGAAAAATCAAACTAAAAAGGTAGTTTCAGATTATCATTTTATTTGCTTCAGTTTAAGCAAACTACGATGTCACTAATTCTTGCTCCTAGGAAGCTGATATTTTAACAATGAGTTTCATATTCATATACTGCTCTATTTATAAATTCCACCTGCTTTTGTTTCTGTAATAGCTAGATGTTGAAGTGTGGCTAACAGTTTAATTTATTTATATTACCAGATCAGGGAGCAAATTAACTTATGGATTTGATCTTGAAAATTGGAATAGTTAGCAAAGCTCATTTCTCAATTTGGAGACCAATCTGTGGTTTTTATTTCAAAAAATTTAAAGCCCTAAGGGTGATTAAAGAAATACTGTATTTTTCGCTACATAAGACGCACCTTAGCATAAGACACAGCTAATTTTTAGAGGAGGAAAATAGGAAAAAATATTCTGAACCAAATAGTGTAATAAAGTTGTATGGTATCTCTATAGGCAGAGTGGCCCCACGTGAAGAGGTCTATTACTTTATATAATACATTTTGAATTATGTTCACCATTAGGGGAGTGAAGTAGACACCCCAAGGCGCTATACATCAGTGTAAAGTTCAGGTTGAAGATACCATTAGAGTGGGTTGCTTTGAATAGTAGGACAAATCTTAAAAGAAATAAAAGCCTTTCACTTAGTGAGCAACTGAAACAAATCTTACTTTTCACCAACAATGCCTCATGTATCCCTTAATGTCACCAGTCAGCAATCCAGCCAGGAATTCCTCTGTATTATGTTATTTAAGGTACCTGGATGAGTCTTCTCCGTTCCTCCATGGAGCTATCTCTCTCTCTCCCTCTCCGCTTCCCCAGCGTCTGGGCTGGTCACGTGATCCAGCTGTGCAGTAAGCAGCGCTGGTCCTACAGGGCTGCTATGAATGTCCTGTACTATCAGCACTGGGGGGTCTGTTAAGCGACCACCATTTTGCCTAGTCCCAGCAAGCTTGAGGCAGGGTCCTTCAAGATCAGCATTGTAAAAAGGTGTAATTATCAGACTGACCACTAGAAGGAACCAAATACAATGTATTTTCTTCCTAAGACGCACAGACTTTTCACCTCACTTTTTTTGAAGGGAAAATTGCGTCTTATGGAGCAAAAAAATACGGATGCAGGGAAAGCGACAGGAATCTGGAGGGAAAGGAAGTTTTCCATTTCTTTTAAATAGCTGTTAACTGAGTGTATCAGTGATGCTTTGAAAAAGATTTAAATTATATTAGAGAAAGGACTCATGGTATTATCAGGATAAATGCAGAGCAAAGTTGGCTTCTGGCACTCTGTACTTCTAGAGTAAATCTGGTAGTCCAGATAGGCGGGATACAAATCAAATAAATAAATAAATAAATAAATAAAATAAAATCCAGTGAATTTGGTTGAAATAAAACTTTTTCTTGCCCACAGAGGAATGTGATTTCTATAGAAGATTTTTAGCTTCTTGCATCACTTCTATGTATTTATGACTAATAAATTTGTTTAGTTTAGCCTACTTTGATGGTACCATGTCGGGCTTTCCCCCAAAATGCATTCCCTTTCCTCAGAATGGATACCAGAATATAGTTCCCAAGGATGCTTTATTGCTTTTTACATAACTCTTCTTTGGTCACGTGGGACAGCTGCATTTGGTTGGTTTAACACACTCAGAAATTACCATTCTGGATTCCTTTAGAAAATATGGAATAAAAATAGTTTAATATAAATAATATGGATTTTTAAAAAGACTCAAAAGGATGTTGGAATGCAGTATACTAAACTTAAATACTGTACACCATAGTATTTATACATCTTGGTATACATCTTGAAATAGACTAACATAGCTTCCTAACAGCAATTTACTGTATTTTTAGATCTGTTGCATTTAAGTGCAGACCAGGCATGTTTTCTCATAAATAAATGTTACTGTATTCAAGGAGGTTTTATTCTTAACGCAAGCCTGCACAAAATTCCAGCTTCAGATCCTCCAGCGCTGAATAAATCTTCCTTCCGTCGCTCCACCAACCACAACAGATAGTTGAAAAAAGGCACTCTTTGCAGCAAGTGCAGGGTTTAAATAGGGACCCCTTGCGCGTGCTCAGCCAGAAAGACACGTTTATTAAGCAGGTATTCGTCATGCGGTAGGGATGGATGAGAGCGTCCAAACTTTAAGGCGCAACGCGAACTATTGAGAAGAAGCGAAGGCTGGAAATCAGGACACCTTGATTCAAACCCTTACTCGGCCATGGAAACTCCACGAGAGACGACGCTGGTGAAACCGCTTCTTAAATATCTTATACCACGAAAATCCTATTAGGGGCTGCTATAAATCAGATGCGACTTGGCGGAAAAAAAAAAACTTGAACGGAGATCTAAGAAGTCCGGAGTTTTTGAATGGAAGCGGACGCTAGGATTGCGGGTAGAAAAAAAAGCTTGGACGGAGATCAAAGGAGTCCAGAGTTTCTGAATGGAAGCGGACGCTAGGATTGCGGGTGGAGAGGGACTTGAATTATGTATATCCTGAAATCTGTTCTAACGTTGGTGAGGATTGAAAACCACATTTGGGCTGCAAAGTCCAAACAGCCTCTGTTCCTACTATATCCAATCTGCAATACAGAAAGGGAAGATACTGCCAGACTGTTGCAAGCCCCTTTCTCTTCACTCGTCTCCTTCCAGGTCAATATTTACATAAAATAGTGCAACCAGTATAGAGCAATTTGAAAATGTATGAAACCTCAAGATCCGTATCTCAGACTTTCCAAGCCAGCCGGCGGGGGAAGGGGAAGCCCCATCCTGTGTTCCCTGCCATCTTTGGCGCTTTGCGTGAGAGACAGTTTTCCCTAACCAGAGGACAAACTCTTCCCATTTTCTATAGGAACGGAGTGCTAATGAAGAAGGCAGGCGGAAGTCCCGCCCCTTCAGTTGTCTTCCACGCATGGGCAATACGAGGAACACGACGAGCGCATGCGCAGTGGTATCGCCCGGGCGTGTCTGTAACGTTACATGAGGGACTAGCGGGTAGTGCGAACTACGTTCATTTTTGCCCCATAGACTACGAAAAAAGTCTCCCGGCGGCCTGTTCAACCGCGGCCTCTTCCCAGGACCAGAGCAGCGAACGTCGCCATGACCTCCGCGCTGGAGAACTATATTAACCGTATCCTTCCGTTGTGGGGAAAGCGCTAGCTCTCCAAGGGCCCGGTTGGGACGGGCGGCGGGAAGGAGAGTCCGTGCGAACCGTCCCGCGGCCTCCCTTCGAGTTTTCCCGTGAGCCGTCCCGCTTCCCGCCCCCGCTCTAGGATACAGGGCGGTGTGAAGGTAGGCCGCGCGGAGGATGGGGCTGACCCGAGTCCGTTTACTTTCTCTCCGCCATAGTTGTAGTTTTGGAAGCGGCAGCTGTGCCATTGGCTGCTCTTTGTGCCTCTACGGGACGGTGGTGGCCAATCAGGGGCGGCTGGGGCGGATCCTTTTCCTCAGGGGCGGTGCTGTTCCTGTTAGCCTTGAGAAGGGGAAGCCGATGGGCGGAGCGTCAGGTTCCGACAGCTGGTCCAGACGAGGCAAGGTAACGGGGAGCGCGTTATTTCCCCCAGTAACGATCCGCGAGAGGAAACCTTTCTCTCGCTCGTGAGCGTTTTCAGGGACGTGCTTGTCCGATAACGCTCGAGTCGGGGGCTTAACTGCGAAGGGCAAAATAGGAATTGTCCTGTATTGTGGAGGGACTGGTGTGTTGCTCCTTCCGGATGAGAGCGAGCATTCCCTTGCTTGGAGCCAGCCCTGCAGCAGGGAGGGGTTTTTTTTATATAGCTTGTCAGGCAGTTTGCTTGCTTAGATTCCGGGATGTTGGCAAGCCTTTGGGTCTGAGTCCTTGATGCCAAGTCCTTAGTCCCTATTAAAGATAAGCTTTTTTTTTCCCCTAGGGAAAAAAAAGGAAGGGTGGGCAGGCTCTTGAGTCGTGGGTCGAGTCCAAGTCACTGGGGACGACGACGACATTGTGACTTAAGTCCAACTTGAGAGCCAGTCTCCATTCCTACTTGGAACCCAAGCAAAATGTGGATTATTATTTATTCTCATGAGTTGCATTTTTTCACTCCTTCTCTCCTCGTTCTCCTTTGCCCCTTCCCAACAGTCCTGTGAATTAGGTCAGTGACTGACCCAAGGCCACCCAGAAAGTTTCATGGCACGCCAACTGCTACCCACACAAGCTGGTCAGTTTTCTCTAACAAGAAAACTACACAGTACAGTTCCTGTGGATTATTATGGTAAAGCCCAATGTGTTTTTTATTTTTAATCATCACATTGAACACTGAAAGCACAATCTGAAATAGGGAACGTGAGCTAACCAGAGGTAAGCTAGCTGAAGCTGGTGGTTTATTGGGAAGTTGGACGCTGGATATATTGCAGTCTTTGCTCAGGTTTTCCATGTTTCTATCCGTAGATTAATCATCTCATCTTGTATTGTAGCGATCCAAACTTCTTCCACTTTAGGGATGTTGGAAATTACAAAGGACTCATCCCGGCCTAAATTTCTACCAGCACAGTGGCTGTTGATACTTTTTTTTCTCTTCTGGCAGCAGATCCTAGCCAGGAGAGCAGTTTAGCTAGCAAATCCTGGAGACCAGCCAGCATTACGGGCATAGTGGCATTTCTGCCAGCATAAGGGGATGTCTGCCTACAACAAGTCTTCTGCCTTCTCTAATCCTCTATTGGGGCACATGTTGTGAATGAGAGTTACAGTGACTGTTTAACTGACTATTTAAGTTACATATATATGCCCGTTATTTCAAATTTTTAGAAAATGAGTGATAAATATGAGTTGTTACAAACCAGATAATAATATCGTACACACTTGAGGTATTAATTTAGGTATATGATGCTTTTCAGCCCTCCAGTGCCTAGGCATTTAGTTACAAGGTATAGTGGCATACACATTCAGTTTTCCGCAACACAGTTCCTGGTTATAAGCTTCCACTGTAATATCATATGCTCTCATAGTCAACACCTCTCATAGATCTTTTTTCTTCTTCTTCCTGTGGTCTGCCCCTCTTTTAGTGTTCTCCACTGCTGGTCTTTTTTTAGCCAGTTCCTTATCCTGTGTAATCCATATTCTCTGCCAGTCTTTCTACACCTGAAATCTACTCCTCCTTACCTTGTTAACACAAGTTGTTCCTGTACAAATCCCCTATTATTACTTGTCACAATAATATTAGCTGCTACTATTAACAATTGCATGTTACATTAAAATAAGTTATGGCTTCTCAACTTAATGTATATCAAGACCATTCTTTAACTTGAGTCTCAGGTACTGTTGCTGTAATTACTTCAGATGGTCGGATGATTGTGGTAAGTATTCTTTTTAAATACACATTTTTTTATTTTTGTAATTGTTCTGAAACAGACTTGATAGTAATTGCCAAACACATACTTGCATGGTGCAGAATTTAACATAAGCTGTTTCTTGTTAAGGCCATTGTCCATTTCATACTTTGTTGTTAAGAGCTGTCAAGTCACCTCCATCTTATGGAGACCCTATTAATGAATTACTTCCAAAATGTGTATCATTAATAGCACTGTTCCCCTCCTGCAAACTCAAAGCTGTTGCTTCTTTTAAGGAACCAATCCACCTGAGATTTGGTTTTCCTCTTGTTGCCTTCCATTTTTCCAAGCATTATTGTGTTTTCCAATGAGTTTTATCTTCCCATGAGATGCCTAAAATATGACAGTCTCAGTTCTGCCATTTTTTGCCTCTAGAGTTCAGGTTCGAATTTATATAAAACCCACTTGTTTTCCTGGCAATCTAGAAAGTTCTGTAAAGCTCTTCTCCAGAACTATACTTCAAATGAATCCATTTTTGTTCTGTCTACTTTCTTCACTGCCCAGCTTTCATATCCATACATAGTAATTCAAAATATGATTGTTGGTTACCTTTACCTTGGTCTCTAGTAACACATTCTTACAATGGATGATTTTCTCTGGATACTTCATAGCTGCTAACCCTAGTCTCTCCCTTCTTTTGATTTCTGGCTGCAGATTCCATTTGATTCAATGATTAATCAGAGTTATACAACTTCTTTAACAATTTCAGTCTCTTCTTTGCCCACACTAAATCCTGGAGTTCTGTAGTGATGATTTTTGTATTCCTAATGTTCATCAGAAGTCGTGCTTTTGTGTTTTCTTCTTCAAGCTTCATCAGGACTTATTTCAAGTTATTGCTGCTTTCTGCCAGTAAGATGGTGCTATCTGCATATCTTAAGTTGTATTTCCCACCATTTTTCACTCTCTATTCATGTGAACCTAGTCAAGCTTTTTGTATATGTTCTGTGTACAGAATGAACAGTAATGGAGGTAAAATACACCCTTGCCTGGCACCTTTGCCTTTTGGAAGCCACTCTGTTTTTCCATATACCATCTGAATACACAGAATACAGGTTATATATCAGAACAACCAAATGCTGATGCACCTCTATTTCTTTGAGAACAACTCATTTCTCATGATCCACACAGTCAAAGCCTTTGCTATAGCCCATAAAGCACAAATTGAAAGAAGTAGCCAGTGTGTAATTGCTGTACGATCTCTAGTGCCTTTTTGTTTTTGGACTCCAACTTAAATGTCAGGCATTTCTCACTCACTAGAGGGTAAAAGTCTCTCTTGATGCACCTTGTGCATCACTTTGCTTGCATGGGAAATTAATGCAATAGTAATTGCTTCACTCCTTTCCACCTCCTTTCTTGCAAACTGGAATGTATATCGAACATTTCCAGTCTGTGACCTATTGTTTCGTTTTCTGTATTTGCTGGCATATTCGTGTTAGGATCTTGACAGTTTCAGGCTCTGTAGCTTGAAATCAGTTTGAGAAATTAGAAGTAAACACGGTATAATTGGAAAAAAACTCGAGTTGCTTGGATTGGAGACAGCCAACGTTCCCTAAGGTGTTCGTGCACAGAGCTCCATTGGGGCTGCACACGGGCAATCAAGCAGGTGGTTTGTTTTCTTCCTGATTCAGATGAAGCCCTGGCCTTCTGCATGTACACGAAGTGAGGCTTCTGCACAGCAGAAACAAAAATTAAAGGGAACATTGGAGGCAGGGTTTCTTCAACCCACTGTATGCAAACATCATTTTGCTTTATCTAATTGTTATGATTCCTTGTTCGTATAATGGTCTTTATTTGTTCCCCAATATCCAGTTGAAAATCTTCTAATTTCCAAAACTGTGTTATATCTTCTTGTAATCATGTACTGAAATCAGAGTTAGATTATTTATAAATGAAAAATAAAGCTCTGGTCTTGTAAAAGCAGTTGATTAGAATTGGCATGAATAATGTATTTATAGGAATGCACTGTTAATTTTAGGTACCGATTCTGAAGTCCTGTACAAAAATATTTGAGAATAAGACTTAATAAACATATTAGAGGATTTTTTGTTTTTGTTTTTACTTCATTGACCACTTGATTATTTGAAGCTCTATTTAGCTTAGCATTCTGCTTCTCAGACATCTATGGTTAGGGCTGAACGTGGCTTTCCTTTGACTGAATATAAAGTTGGCTCAGTCTAAGAAGTGCAGTCCAAAGGACAGTGATGGCTAACCTATGGCACACGTGCCACAGTTGGCACACAGAGCCTTCTCTGTTGGCACACGAGCCGTAAGTCTTCATAGAGAAATACTTACCCATCCTCCGATCCGAGATTTCAGCACTCCCCTCGGCTGGTGCAGTGGTCTAGCGGAGGGGGGCAATGGCGACCATTACCGGTCTAGCCCAATTGGGGGATTGGAGGACCAGTAAGTATTTATTTGTTAATACTGCA